AATCTTAATAATTCAGCGAATAAATTAATAATAGATTAATAACAGAGTACACACTCCTAGAAATGATGCCAGGGAGGGATCACGGAGAAATTTGTTTTTAAAAAGTTGGTTCTATAAAAAGTCTTTCAGTGAATGGATCAAGCTACAGACTACAGTGAAAATTTATAGATTATGCAAAGTAATGTCAGACAGCTTAAAAGATTACATTAATATTTCACCACATTTTACCATAATATTACAGTAAAAAAATGGTCATTATAACCTTAAAACTGAAAATTTGTTGACACTAAATAAATGCATTATGCTACCTTTAAGTAACTGATTTTCCTAAAATGGACAAAAATTCATGTATTTTTAATGTATTTGAACGATCGGGAACTGGTAATTTTGATCTAAAGACAATCATATTTGAATGAAATTCAAAGTAATTAGAATTAAATTTTTCAATTTTGTTTCATCAACAGTTCAGCTTTACGTTGAGGTAATAAAGTGTGTGAATACTGACTGCTCAACTTCACTGAGCTTAATTATGTGGTATAACTATAACTAAGAATTAAGTTCACACAGCCATTTAAATCTTTTGAGTGTATTTCACAGAAAGTGATGCTGAGAAAATCTTTACTGTGATCAGAATTTTTTGAAAAAGAATCATTTTCAAATTTGTTTTCGGTCCTTGAAAAGGAACCAAGTTGCACTGCAAAAAATTGTATCTTCTCAATTAACATAATCTTAAATGAAGGCAGGAAATCTAATATTTCTCCTGTTTAGATTGTTGTAAACTTAATTTAAGATTATTTAACTGACTTCGACATTTTTTACTTGTTTTAAGTAATTTTAGTAAAATTCTCACTATGCTGGCAGATAATTGTGCTTGTTGTAAGAAATGAGCTTGAAACCAGAAAAATTATCTGCCAGTATAGTGAGATAATTTTACTGAATAAAATGACCTAAACCTAGTAAATAATATCTAGAAATAAACTAAATAATCTTATAATAAGAGCACAACCATCTCAAAATGGGAAATATTAGAAATATCGACTAGATTTAATATCATTTCACTTGACCAGATCCTGTTTTTTTGCAGTGCATCATTTGGAGCAGGATAACATTACCTTGTTTCCCTTTTCATGAGGCACAACTTGGCTTCTTATTCGACTTTGTTGTTCCACCTTAAATGACCCGGCAGCTACCTTAATGGTGTGCTGGCACCAGAAAGTAACTATAGCACCATTTAAGGTGGAACAGAAAATTTGAATAAGAAGCTGGTGAGTAAGAACGTCAGCTTCGCTCTGCTTTCCGAAACATTCGGTGAAACATTTGTTTTTGGTTTTCTGTTTTGTTCTGTTCCTCATTTGTAATCATTGTTTACTGTACCTCTAATAATAGGGGATGTAGAGTCGGGTGCAGAGCAGTGGAGGACATATCAAAAGTGTTTTTGGAAGCAGAGTTTGTGCTCACAGTGGCTGGAGAGCAGCGTTAGCATTGTTTAAAGCCTGATGATTAAACAGACTCACAGTGTTTGAACGTAGACTCTTTCCTGTGTTACTGACGCCCCCATCAAGACCTTCAAACCATTTACGAAAAAACACAGAGTCAACAAAGTCCAACAGAGTCCAAGCACTTCGACTCTCGGGTTCGAACGTGATAAATAAATGTTCAACCTTAAATGAGCCCAGACTGATCGCTGTTATTTATTCAGTTAAATCCAAAGTAATTCCAAAAAGTCTGGCCATATACACCAGTCCACCTCCTTGTTTCTACACTCACTGTCCACTTTACCAGCTCCACTGACCGTATAGTTTCACTCTGTGGTTCTACAGTTACAGACTGTAGTCCATCTGTTTCTCTGATACTTTGTTAGCCCCCTTTTACCCTGTTCTTCAGTGGTCAGGACCCCCATGGACCCTCACAGAGCAGGTACTATTTGGGTGGAGGATCATTCTCAGCACCGCAGTAACCCTGACGTGGTGGTGGTGTGTTAGTGTGTGTTGTGCTGGTCTGAGTGGATCAGACACAGCAGTGCTGCTGGAGTTTTTTAAACACCTCAGTGTCACTGCTGGACTGAGAATAGTCCACCAACCAAAAATATCCAGCCAACAGCGTCCTGTGGGCAGCGTTCTGTGACCACTGATGAAGGCCTAGAGGATGACCAACACAAACTGTGCAGCAGCAGATGAGCTATCGTCTCTGACTTTACATCTACAAGGTGGACCGACAAGGTAGGAGTGTCTAATAGAGTGGACAGTGAGTGGACACAGCGTTTAAAAACTCCAGCAGCACTGCTGTGTCTGATCCACTCGTACTAGCACAACACACACTAACACACCACCACCACGTCAGTGTTACTGCAGTGCTAAGAATGATTTACCACCCAAATAGTACCTGCTCTGTGAGGGTCCATGGGGGTCCTGACCACTGAAGAACAGGGTAAAAGGGGGCTAACAAAGTATGCAGAGAAACAGATGGACTACAGTCTGTAACTATAGAACTATATGGTCAGTGGAGCTGATAAAGTGGACAGTGAGTGTAGATATGAGAAGGTGGTTTGAAGGTTATGGCTGATGTAACTAGCTGAGTTTGCACAGCTGCCACTGATAAAGTGAAACGAAATATTTGTTCATGCAGCAGATTATTTGGATCACCATGATTACACGTCATATTTAGCCATTTGGACAAACGAGAAGCTACACAGATTCTCTAGTTACACATCCTCTACAGACACATATCTGCACAAGTTAACACACAATTACTGTTTATTTACTGTATTTAACACACTGGGGAACATAAACTGTTCTCTGAGGATGCGTTAACTTATTTTGACTCTAAGAAAATCAACAAAACGTCATGTAGCCAGTGGTGTTTTTGACTGTATTTTGATAAAACACAAACTTCATATATATGATTTGAATGAAATCATTTTAATCTTAAAGGGGAATTTTCCCATAATTCAGTGTGTGAGATGTAAACAGAGAGATTCAGAGTGGTTTGGTGTGAAATGGTTCAGATGTCTTTACAGTGGTGGTGATAGGAACCAGGGGTCGCCATGACTACAACACAAATATAGACATTTTATTTATTATCCAGAACCACCAGTGAACCTACACGAGTCTTCTGAGTCTATATGGAATGTTGATGATGGAAAATAGTGGAAAATCTGAAATAATAAGTTTTCTTTGGGGACTATTTTGCCTCACAGCGCCCTGCATGTATCCCTCCACCATGAATGGCGTTTAAGTTCTCTGAACTATCATAAAACAGTGTCTCAGTCATCAGGCAGTGAATTCATAACCATTTCATGTAGGAACTTTCTGTGAGGGAGCTTTTAGAGGTGGACGTCCTATCACCACCACTGTGAACAGTTCTGACTCGGTAAGTTTATCTAGAACAGCGCGTTTCACACCAAACCACTCTGAACCACTCTGGACCACTCTGGACCGCTCTGATTACATTATAATCAGTTAATTATGCAGATTTTTTAAAAAGGGAAGAGTTGAGAGGCTATGATGAATTAGCTGCTCAGCGAGGGAGATGAATCGAGGTCAGTTCAGTCTGTGCGGTGCTGACAGAAGATAACTGGTGAGTTTTGTTGGCGTGAAATTGGTTCTTTCTCTGAGTCACGATTCTAAAATTGTGCGAGTATCTCAACGGGGGCACAATATGATTCAGAGGCTGCGATGCGATTATAAAACGATTATCGATGCATCTTTTTTTTCTATATAGCATTTCTATTTTCCCACTGTCTGAGGACTTGGTACTTTTAAAGCAAAATATTTGTAATGATCTATAATGAATTCACTTCCAGTATCTTTTTTTAATAAATCAAGGCCGCTGTGTCAGTAAAATATCCTGTTTCGCAACGACTGAGAACTGGCGTTATAAGACTGCAGGTCACACAGCAACGATTCGCATTCATAAGCACTGCAGTTGATTTCTGGTAAGTTAAATCCACAACGAGAGACTGTCAAACACAAAAGTTGCGAAGACTTCAGCCTCGGAAAACAGTTGAACGGTGGAAGACATTTTACGAGAAACTGATCTACTTTAGAGGAAAAGTTTTCTGGTGGAGATGGGAGGAAAGCGGCTGTAGCTAAAGCTTAAAACAGAGTAAGTCTGCGCTTTTGTTTATATTTTTAAGCTAACTTATACTAGGACATTCGCACATACTGAGACATACTGGACATAAATGTTGAGGCTCCCAAGGTGGTCTGATTTTTGTTGAAAGGACAAAATGTCTCTTCTTAACATTTGTGTTGTGACTCCTGATCTAACCTGGCTTTTAATGCAGAGGCTGCCAGTCGGATTTCTTGCTCATCCAGTAGTGTTTTTGTTATGTGCCGCCACAGACTGTCCGGGCGCTGCACTTACCCACTTCCAAGTTCCACCTTTTGCGTTCCGTTAACATTGCGATATAAATTAAATATTTAGAAAATCGATTTTTGACATTTGTGAACTGATTCAGAATCGTTCACGTCCGCATCGCGATGCATCTAAGAATCGATTTTTTCCTGCACCCCTAGGGGACACACCCAATGCCATTTGGCCCAGTGTGGCCAGTACTTACATCACTGTTTCCACCTAGCTAGTTAGCTAACAATGCTACCAGTGCTAACAGTTAATGTTGCTAATTGGAGTTAAACTGGTTAGTGATGTTAGGCAGGAAGGCTGGAGTTTACAGGAGTTTAAAAAGTATGTTTAAATCTGATGGGATTATTTGGACACTAATTTGAAACAGTTAACTTTTTTTTCGTATTCAAAAGTTTGAACACCTCCGGTCAAATTACACTTTGTTGTAAAAGCTAACATGTCTTTTACAGGAAACAAACTTAGGTTTAATTATATGATAAATGCGCCATAGCTTTCTGCATAAACTGTAATTGTGCATTAAAATTTGTCTCTAACGTCTGTTTGTGGCTTTCATCTCTGTGAGAACATTTTGTGAGTATATTTTGATGGTAAAACTGACAATAAATAAATAAAAATTGACTTGACAAAGACAGAAACAGATTTTAAGGTTTAATCACATTTTTCGTTATATTTCAGTGATGAAAACTTTATATCAATACTGCATACATTAACGAATATTGTTCCAGCATCATTGAAACTTATGGAAAAAATAGGCCACCCAAAACCACAGAAATCAACAAAATCCCTGAATCTTATGCAATATGCACAGTACAAAACCAGTTTAGTTTAAGTGCCATGCAAAACAATGGAGAGCCTCATCTCGAACAATACAATACGATACGCTGTAGTGATCCAGGCAGCTATCAAGAACCTTTATTGCTAAGAGTGTAAAGTGCAAACTGTTGTTTCCAGTGAGCACATGTACTGCAGGGCTGCAGGATACATTTTTATTACTATACTGATAGGAACTACTTGCCTGAACGTGGCTATTGTCACTCCGAGTGTTGATTATGCAATGAGCAGTAAAGGCTGCTGTTACAGCAAACATGCATCACCATAAGGAGCTAAATAGATTTATTAGTATTAGTTTCTGTAGTCTTTATAGAAAAAGCTGTTCAGGGAATGCTGACTGTTTCCCAGCCTTATAGTGCACAAAGATGTGCTACCAGTTCTCATCATTGAGATATTTAACTCCTTTATTGAACATTTTAGGTCCGTATCCTGCAGCCCAGGTACACATGAACACCTTCATCAGTGTCCATCAAATACATTCATGCAAAGTCCCAGGTTAAAGAGCACTGAGCATCTTTCCACATTTGAGATCTCGTCGGTGGACTTCTTGCCACATGATGTAAATTTGATGAGGCAGGAATCTGTGAACTAGGATCATTTCACGGTAATAGCAAGGGTCATAAGGGTCCAGCACTTTGGAGGGAATGTGTAGGCCGGCAGTCCGAATGCCCATGTGGGACGAGGGTTTCAGCCCAGCTTTCTCCAGACACATTCCCATGTAAACATCATCTATGGGCAAAATAGTGATGGAGTGAGACATATTGTAGATGGTCTTGGCAGTAAAACGTGAAAGCAGGAAGCCTCCTCCTCCACAATAGGGAGGATACCTATCAGATTCCTGCACTTGGACCGGGACATAATATTTGCTGGCCTCATTCCTGATTGGTCCAACATACTGGATAAGGTGGCCAACAAACAAGTGTTTGTTGGCACCATCATCACCCAACCCTTGGAGATACACCACCATGTTATCTGTGTTGGCGAAAATGTCATCATCCCCGTTGAGCAGGAAGTGAGCATTGGGGCAAAATCTTTCCATCCATTCCAAGAAAAGGATCTGCTTGAGTGTGAGGTTGAAGAAGGAATCATGAAAGTCCCACTGCAGAATGTCCTTGTGTTCACGGTTCTCTGCTTCCAGGAGTTTGTTCAGCCTCTGCTTCTCAAAGCTCTGTCCAGCAGTCCCGGATATAAACACAGTACGAATCCAAACGCCGCTCTGCAGCCTCTTGGCAGCCCATGTTTTCCGCAGCACCTCCCGTCTCTCGTAATTGGGTGGAGAACTCTTGATGACCAACAAAAGAAACACATCTGAAGATCGCTCAGGGCCACCACACTTGCCAGGAACGTTGAGCAACATCGGGAAATGCCGACAATGGCGGTAATACAGGAAGTCTTGAATGCGTTGGGGCAAGGAGGAAAATCCACTGATGTTGGAAGCAGATGAGTTCTGTTCACATTTGGGTGGTAAACTTGGAAAAGCTTGATTTTTCCAAGCGTCGATTTCCAGATTCCATTCATATTCTGATGCAAGCTCCTCTTGGCTCTTGTCCTGGATGTTTGTTCTCAGCAGTATGAACAAGCAAAAAGTGCCAGCGATCAATACAGCTGCCATCTCCAGCTTCCACCTCCTCGACCAGATCCCTGGATAGAAGAGGAGACGGTTGGCAAGTTAGGTTTTCAGGGTAAAGGGAAAGGAAACACATTCTGCAATCATATAAACATCTGCTCGTGCATCCCACCTATTTTGGTCCTTGATCTATGTTTGTCATCAAAACCCTCACATACATCTGCCCAGAAAGAAACACCACACACTTTCAGATTATGCACACATAATCCTGATCAATGGCTCTAATTCTCAAAACTCGCATTAGTTTCCTGCAAACAAACGAGACCTTAGTTTTAAACAGACAGGTCGGACGACAGTGAGGTTACTGGGCTTGGGACGCAGATTGGGTAGCAACAAGGCTTCTATTGTGACGTCACACTGTATAGTTGCTGCCATTTTGAGGACTGAATCAGGGAGAGACTGCGACGCCTTCACTTCGCTGTGCTTTGTGAACGATTCACCTGTGAGACACGACAGAAGCTGAGAGACGAGAGACACACAGACCTTTAATTCAGTGTTTCAGACTCGGAAACTTGGAGCTGCTGCACTGTACAGTTTAGAGTTTCTCTGCTGTTCACACCTCGTTCAGCTCAGGAAGGGATTAGTTAACTAATAATATCAGGTATTTTAACCAGGAAACCACAGTTATGCAGTGCAGGGGTTTCAGGACTGGAGCTGAACTCTGAACTAGCAAACTTACAGAATCACGTCTGTCGAAACAAGACGTCGTTTTCCGACCCACGACATTCAGTCTGATATTTAACACTTATGTTTCTCCATTCAAACGTCATTTAAATCAGAAACAGAGAGTAAAGTTATACCAGCGGTCTGCAGCTCTGTTAGGGGGACGATAGAGATGTTTATCTCTCGGCTGATAACATTAGCTAAAGAAAAATCAAGTGACTGAAACCCTGGGATACTCTTAGCTATTGCTGCGTTGGTGGTGTGTGTCTCCACAGAAAAAGTGTTCATTTCGGTTCTGCTCAGCTCTCATCGGTTGATAGACTTTCAGGCATAACATCAACATTGCGTTTCACACCAGAGACTCAATGTTCACCCCACACTACTGAGACATAAATACTGAACATGTTTAATACTCATGATTCACAATAAGGGCCTCAAGGCAAATTTATTTATACAGCACCTTTCATACACTGCTGTCACGCAAAGTGCTTTACAAAGGTGAAGGAGACAAAATTTAAAACACGATGAAAACAGAATTAAAAGAAAAAAATCATTATATTAAAATCAAATTAGAAATTTAATTAGGATAATTAAAAATCAAATTACAATTTTAAAATCTATTGAAAATTATTTAACCAAACCATTGAAGAACCATCTTTTTAAAGAGTGTAAAAACTATATATATATATATATATATATATATATATATATATATATATACACACACACACACACACACACACACACACACACACACACCACAATATACATGATAACCACAGCCTATTTTTAAACTGACATACTTTCTTCTCCGACTGCTGCAGAATGTACAAAAGTACAGCACTTTCAGCTCAACACACCATTTATACTGACTGGGCTGTTTGAGTTAATCACTGACAATTAGAACGTCACTGTAACTCATATATACAGTTATTTAAGCTTCAACTGTTAAGTAGTTTTAATAAATGACTTAATTCTTTTGTTTCCTTTTGCCTGTTCTACAGTTTGCACTGGTGCCAATTTCAGCTGAACTGTTTACAAACGGTGGAAAATTAATGCTGAAAGCAAAGTTTAGGCCAGTATTTAAAGCTGACCTCACACCGAGGCCCTCACACACACTGTGATTAAAGACTGACCTGATGGCAGCAGCAGCGGCCGCTGCGCATGGGCAGCTTAGTCTCTTCTGCCCCAGCCTGCTTTTAAACATTTACACTTTGATTTGCATTGGAAATAAAGGCAGTTATAATCTTTAATCCTGACTTGTAAGAGTGCCCTGGTGTGAATATCACATCCAACCACACTGCAAAAAATGGTCTCGTCAAGTAAAATTATATTAAATCTAGTCAATAAATCTAATATTTCTCCTGTTGAGATTGTATAAGCTTAATTTAAGATTATTTAGCTTATTTCTATTTTTTTATTTGTTTTAAGTAATTTCATTGAGTAAAATTATCTCACTATGATAGGCTTGTTTTAAGAAATGTGCTTGAAACCAGCAAAATTATCTGCCAGTATAGTGAGATACTTTTACTTAATAAAATGGCTTAAAACATGTGAAATGTGTCTAGAACTAAGCTAGATAATCTTATGATAAGTGCACAACCATCTCAAAATGGGAAATATTAGATTTATCGACTATATTTAATATCATTTCACTTGACAAGTGACCATTTGAGCACCTTACTGACTCTTCATCACATACTTAGAAGAATCAATTGAGCATGCCGTGAAAACAAAAAGCAGGGACGTTTCACTCTTCACTCTATACAAATTCACCAATACTAACATTTCAATACAAGCTGATACCGTGTGACCTAAGCTCAGTGCAGCTGCCGCTCTAATGAACAAACACAGTGAAGTGAAAGTTTCAAGCCTGTAAACCAACCAGGGGTATTTAACTAAATTTCAATAAGGTCCAGTTAGAGAAAAATTCCTCAATCACAGGTCCAGAACATCATAATGTCTAAGCTGCATCATGATTCAGTGCCATATACTGTTTACTGAAGTAGAAGTAAAACTGAGTGTAGAAACAAGGAGGTGGTGATAACGTTATGCCTGATTGGTGTAGGTTCAGGTCCACATAGGACAGCGTTTAGGTTCGGGCCGCGGTCCGCCTGTTAGTGACCTCTGCTGTAGACCAACCGGGAAATCTGTCTGCAGCACAGAATGTTTAGATAGTATTTCGTCATGAATTAGATTAAATAAAACACTTAAGTTTGTATACAATTTTATGTTTGTCATTGATTTTCATGGCTTATTTACTGTATTTTGCTGCGTGACGCGTGCAGAAAAAGTCGGCGCTGGGTCTATTCTTAGTGCGGTGTCTGGGACATCCTGCCTTTTTGCAGCCACAGCCTGTGTGAAAGCGCTGACCAGTGAACATGGGCGTCAAAATGAAAAGCAAGACTTCCTGTGTTGCCGCACATGTGTGAATCAGGTCTAAGCTGTGAGAATTTGCGCGTTGTGCCCCGTAATCTGCTGCTTCGCCAACTCTTATTTGTACACATTTAGTGATCTTTCTACTTTATTTAGGCTCGTCATCAATTTGCGGGATTTTTCTTCATGCGTGCTTCGTCCTGCTCCCACCTGCAGTGGGTTGGTTTCCTGGGCGCAACACTGAAAATCAGGATATTGTGGTGGAACCGCCAGGAATCCGCAGGAGTGCAGACCTCTACTACGTAGGTTATTCAGTGTGGTATCAGAATCAGTTTCTCTCTCTGATTTCAAACATCTTCTAGACACAGTTAGGAAGCAAATTATTTTGTTCTTTGTTTATTATAGTTCACCTGACATGAAACGTTTTTACTTCTTACTTTGCACAAACAGAAAACGGACACTTTTAAGATCACATTTGACCGACAGCCGATTTGGTCAGACTCTGAAGATGAGACGACACTAAATTCCCAAACTGTCATCACTACTGAGCAGCTTTTCAGTCGGCAGCTGAGACAGAAGAACAGCTGAACAACCTGGAATCAGCCAGAAATGAACCCAACACCATTCGCCAAACTAAATGGGCTGTAAGATGCTTTACAGACTGGCTGGAACAAAACAACATTAATACTGATCTGGCAGAAACTCACAAAACTGAGCTGAACTTGATATTGCGGCAGTTTTATGGCTCAGTCTGATTTGGTCAGACTCTGAAGATCAGACAACACTAAATTCCCAAACTGTCAGTTGGTCTGTGTGGAGCTGGAGAACGAACTGCCGGCTGTGCAGCGAGTGGGCGGAGCTCGTTACTCTGACGTAGCAACAAGCTGCTCGTTAAGGAACTATAATTTGGTGAAGGAACTGAACATTAAAACATATTAAACGCCGCGTTCACGGCCCAGTTTATTAATTTATTACTTTATTTATTTAACTGTTGTATTAAAGCAATAGAACACTCGAGGAGTGTGTTATCGCCAATAACATCACGGCTGTGATGATCTACGGCGACCAAATCACAGCCGTGATGTTATTTCTCGATAACACACTCCCTCTGTGTTCTACTGCTTAAGCATCTTATCTCCAGTTAGGAAATCTTAACTTACTCGATTGAGGGCGATAATCAGCTGTCATCTCTGTTTCCTAGCAACCGACCACACACACAGCTGAAACGTAAACAGGTCATTAAAATAATGTTAAAAATGTGAGTTAAGCTGCTGTTACTGATGTGAAAAAGGCCGAACAAAACAAAAGTGTGATGAACTGTAAGTTGTAAATACTAAATATGGAATCTACTCATTTCCATTGTGTGTGACTGGAATCAGGCAGTCATTTACATTTGAAGTGATAGGAAACAGTCAAACTTGAGTTGCTGAGGCTTTCATTTCCTCATGGTTTTTTCATATTACGTGACCCATTTGTGAAGGATAATTGAGAAGATCTGTAAAAGCAGAAACTCTGTGTGAGAATACGGGAAGTTTATTAGGGGTAATTTCCTAAAACTGGGTTGAAGAGCTTTGGATGAACTTTGCGACTGTATATGCAGGTTATAGCTATGCTTTTGGGTTACATCCACAGTGCACTTGTACAATTTAACAGCTGCCTATTACATCAGTATTTTCCACAGAGCTGTTTAAGCATTAAACTTTCAATGTTAATGGAAAAAGAAATGACTGACCGCCCACTATGGAAAAACCTGATCAGCCTTTCAGATCAGATTAGTCTGATAGGAAAAAATGCACTGCATTCATAAATAGGCATATATGTGCTTATAACTCTTGGAAACAATGCTTTTTAAGCATACTTATACATTCTCATCATGCCTCATAAGGCTGTAATAATGTACTATAGTTCATTTTTTGATGACGTCTGTCATAATTCATTATAATGCCTTTTACATGGATGATAACCTGTACATTTGCAAGGTTAATTATGTGCCGATTATGTACTCTGGACATTTAAGGACAAACAAAATGTTAAAAACAATTGTTTTTACATAACAAAACACTTTTAATTCAGAAACGAGTGTCTGTGCTTTGATCACTAGTTTGAAATTAAACTCACAACAGAGAAAACTGAAGTTTATAGTACCTTAAAACTTGATGGTTATACTTTACTGAGAGATGTGCATTCATATTGCCCAGTTTGTCCAGCTAATGACAATTTTAAAGAATAAAGAATAACATAAAATCTCTCTTGAAGCACTGAACGTTCATGCTGGTTTCAGAATTGTTAATATGTATTATATTTTTACTATATGTGCTTTACAATTACACACAGGTCATTTTTCATTTAAAAGACATTATGATGAATAGTTATAACATGTTAAGTCACCCAAAGTCATTATAAGAGCCTTATTTAGCTTTATAGAGTTTATAAATATGCTTACAGACTTATTGTTGTCAAGTTACAAAGATTTAAAAGTTTATTTACAATGTAGGTTTCAGAGAAAGTGTCACTGATGCATCTATCAGGGCAAAGAATACACTTCCGTAAGGCTACTGGACGCTCTGAAAAGCAGCGTTGATAGTGAATAGTGGACGTTCAGTGGAGGAGGCTTATTAAAACGCAACTGTTTGAAGGCGTTCGGGGGACCTTGTGACTGTAAATGATTAAAGCAGCAGTTTATTGACTGTTAGCATAACAGTTATCAATTAATTTAGTGCTTTGTCATCTGAACCTCCCACGTGAGACTCCTGAGCGCTCGGCCAAGGATTTCCATTTTTAACAAGGTTCTATGTAAAACCCTACACAACACATTCTCCATCAATCTAAACAGAACCTTTTTGAAAAGGGTTCTATCCAGCACCAAAAAGGGTTCTGCTATTTTGATGATGTCCAGCTTGTATGCATAAGAACCTGTTCCATCAGTCTGAAGAACCATTTAAGCACTGTGTTGATCTTTATTAAGAGCGGCTCCTCTGAGCTCAGCTGTGGGATTTGCATGAACTGCGTGACTGTAACGCGACACGGCACTGGACAGATTATTGTTCCAGATAGTTCCACATGTAGAAAGTGACGGAACCATTTTCAGCTCTGCAGCTTTCGGTGAAAGCAGAAGTGTGAATGTACTCACTGTAGAACCCCTGGAACATCTCCGAGATCAGCTGCTGTCCCCTGAGAGGAACGTTAAACTGGGCTTGTAGTCTGTGTTTCCATACCGCATGATCTCAAACAGAGGTCTGATCAGGTTACACACAAAAAAATCAGATATAAAAAAATCAGATATGAACATAAACGTTCTTCAGAAGTCACTCAAAATGGTTTGGAGCGAAATGGCTGACTGTAGACACCCCCGGTTCCCAACACCACCACAGACCCTCCACAATCAACTGTTTCACACCACAAACCACTCTGAGTGACTCTGTTCACATCTCACACACTGAGTTACAGAAGAGGTTTGGAAGTTGGGTGGAATTCCCCTTTAAATGTATCTTACCTTTTTCCCCCAAACTCAGTCCTGCTAACCTCATGATCTTCAGCAGAACTTCCCGTCATCACACATCAGTGTCTGAGTGAGCGGGAAACACTGCACTCGCTTAACAACCACACACACAGACACACACACACACACACACACACACTAAGCCCTCCCGTCAGAGAGAGAGAGAGAGAGAGAGAGAGAGAGAGAGAGAGAGAGAGAGGAAAAAAATATACACAGTATGAACGATTGTGACAGAAGAGGCGAGAGAAAGAGAGAAAAAGAAACGGAAAGAAAAGAGAATGACAAAAAAGAATGAGAAAGAAAGAGAGGTGAGAGAGGGAGAAAGAAAAAGCAGGAAGAGAGACAGAAAAAGAATGAAAACGAAAAAGGAGAGAGATTAAAAAAGATAAAGAAAAAAGAAGAATTAAGAGAGAGAGAGAGAGAGAAGGAAGACAGAAGGGAAGAGAGAGAAGGCAAGAGAGGGAGAAAGAAAAAAGAAAGAAAGAGAAACAGGGAAGAGAGATAGAGAAACGAAAATGAAAAAGAGAATTAAAAATAAAGAGGAAAGAGGAGAGAGAGAGAGAGAGAGAGAGAGAGAGAGAGAGAGAGAGAGAGAGAGAAAGTAAAGAATAAGGAGCATTTTGAACCACTGCATTAACACCATTAATCCATAAATAAAAATGACATTCATTAACATAAACCAATATTTACATACATCCTCCAACTCTCAGAGACAAACTCCTCTCCAGAAATCAGAGTATTTGCATTTTATTCCAGAAAGAAGGAAGTTGTAGTGAAAAACTAACAAATACAGTCTGAAAATTTCTCTCGTACCAACATATTAATCTCCACATAAATACAACATATTTCTGTCTATATTCATTCACAGAACTGCTGTTAGAGATGGATCTGAAACCAAAATAACACAGACATCAGCTCTCGTACTAAAAGTGCACCATTGATAAAAAAAACTAAATAAACCTGTTGATTTCGCTGCATCTGACAGGATAAACACTGATTCCTGATATTCCGTTATGTGAGAATTACAATACTGATATGAAGACTGTCGCTGTGAGGATTCATAAAGATCCTGATTCAGAGTTGAATCACTACAAATCAGTAGCTGAAGGAGGCTCAGACAGCAGGGACAGATTCACAAACTTTCAGAACCAGCCAAAAATAAAGATCTCTAGAAAATAAAAAATCACGTAGAAAAGGGGGAAAACCTTTTTTTTAACTAAAGATTTATTTAAAAAGAGTCGACTCAGATTCATTTAGAAAAAAAATTCAAACAATTGCGCTACCACCATTTTTGTAGGCAGCGCTGTGGCTGTTTGTAATGAGATCAAGCCAAAACCAGCCCAGCAAAACAAGTAAAACACACTTTTTAAACACTTCTAAATTTGTGAAGCACATTATTGGGTGTAACTGAATGTATTGACGAGATTTCATTTTAATGGATTCGCTGTAGTGATAACAAACGAAAGCTAAAATCTGAATGGCTGTGAATTCCCGCTGCAGAAAACTGATTTAGATGCAGATCAAAACGCAGATTCAGATTCATTTAGAGAGGCGACTCTGTTTCAGATTCATTTAGAACAAAGGAGTCAAAATCAGATGGCTGAAAGTCATTTTCACGCAATATTTGACCAAAAAACTAACTCTGATTCAGATTCATTGCAAAAGGAGTCAATCAGTTTCACAAATGATTCATTTACAGATGTGATTCAGGTTCTGACTCATTCTGGGGAGAAAAGAGTCAAATATAGACAGGTGAGAACAGTTTTCACAAAAGAATCATGTAAAGAGGTGACTGACTCAGATTCATCTATAACATCTGCAAAAGATATATTTACAGATTCAATTCAGATTCATTCATTCAAAAAAAAATCTAGACAAGAAATTTTTACAAATGATTCATTTAGAAAGGCAACTCATAGACGGGAGAAACTAATTACTTTCTCAAAATATTCATCTGCTGAGCCGATTCTGATTCAGATGCATTCTCAATACAAGAGATGGGAGAACAATAAAAGATTTGTTTACAGAGTCACTAAGGGGAAAATAGACTCAAATAGATGGAGTCAAATAGATGGTACGAGTGGATCAGACACAGCAGTGCTGCTGGAGTGTTTAAACACTGTGTCCACTCACTGTCCACTCTATTAGACACTCCTACCTTGTCAGTCCACCTTGTAGATGTAAAGTCAGAGACGATAGCTCATCTGCTGCTGCACAGTTTGTGATGGTCATCCTCTAGTCCTTCATCAATGGTCACAGGCCGCTGCCCACAGGACGCTGTTGGCTGGATATTTTTGGTTGGTGGACTATTCTCAGTCCAGCAGTGACACTGAGGTGTTTAAAAACTCCAGCAGCACTGCTGTGTCTGATCCACTCAGACCAGCGCAACACACACTAACACACCACCACCACGTCAGTGTTACTGCAGTGCTGAGAATGATCCACCACCCAAATAGTACCTGCTCTGTGGGGGTCCATGGGGGTCCTGACCACTGAAGAACAGGGTAACAAAGTATGCAGAGAAACAGATGGACTACAGTCTGTAACTGTAGGACTACAGAGTGAAACTATATGGTCAGTGGAGCTGATAAAGTGGACAGTGAGTGTAGAAACAAGATTTGTTTGACCAATTCAGATTCATTATTTACTTTAGCAAAAGATTCTTTACATAAGTGACTCAGACTCAGATTCATTCTAGAAAAAAGGAGTCAAATAAAGATGGGAGAAACTACTTATGTTCACAAAAGACTCGTTTACAGAAATGGCTCAGAGTCAGATGCAGAAGAATCGTTTACAGAAGAGTGTGGCTGAGCTAAAGCCAGGCACAGCATTTATGAAGCATAAATTAAATTGATCTAGCCATTTTTGGGCTCCGCCCACATCTGTGTCCAGATCCAGCACCATTACTGGGCCAGAAGAAGACTTTTTCATCAGGAGCAAGTGTTGAGTCATTTGGGAGGGTCATGAAAAACACGTCACACCATCACGCACCGACACACTCTGTCCAAAAGCCACAGCAGCTTAAGTCCATTTCCTCCCTTCACGTGTCAGAGCGATAAATCAATGCATGTGCCATCCTGCAGAACAAAACAGAAACATTTAACAGGGCCTTATTACAGAAACATCTCACCATGACAACTTCAGTACGACTGAATTACAGAATAACAGCTCCTAACTTCATGATCTCATCATGAACTCCAGATAAGAAAACAGCATCACACAAACATCCTAACTAGACTGAACCTCCTAAATCCTGTCCTAACTTTAGGATGGACCCCAACAGGGTCCTCACTTCTGTTTAAGGTCCGTTTCTATGGTTTTTAGGCAGCTGAGTCAGCAGCATAGTTCACTACCAGCATAATGAGCTCCATTTATTCCTACTGTAAAACGCTGCTTTCACTGTGAGATGATTTTCTTTTCTAACTCTGCGTTTTAAAGATCTCAGACGCTGCAGACTCGATCTCCACCGCCCCTCTGATCACCTTCGTGTGTTAATGTTGATGATGAAATATTACAGTGATGGTGGTGAATAATGAGGAGACGGAGCTGAACGTGTGTCTGTTTATTAGGAGGAGTAACGTTAGCGTGCTCGGCTAAAGCGTTTGGGGAATGGAGACAAACTGTTTGTGTAATATAAATGTGTGTAAATCTTATCTTGACCTGTCAGATCTAGAGACAAAAAGATTGGCCTTTTTTTGTAATACAGCCCACAATTTACAACACTGTTTACAACACGGTACATTTTTCAAAATATTTCAAAATTTCAAAAGGGGAATTTTTCAAACTTGTCCAAACTTGTGACCTCCTGAAGACAGGGCCAACGCTGGTGTCCGTCACAGTTTGGTGATTTACCTGCTCCAACACACCTGATTACACTCAGCTGTTATTTGCCAGGTTAAGTGGGTGTGTTTGAGCAGAGAAACCTCCAAACTGTGCTGGACACCGGCCCTCTGGGACCGGAGTTGTGCACTTCTGGCTTAGATGGTTGCGCCACTCAGGAGCCCCAAAATGACAAATGTTTGAGCAGTGCTGCATGTGTGGTCATGTTTGGGTGCAAACCGTACTTTGTCTGGGTGTGTGTGGGCGTGTGCAGACGGGACGAGGGGATCCTGCGAATCCATCAGTGTGGAAGTAGGAGCTGGGTCTGATCTCCTCCAGCACAGCAGGAGAACTGCCAGCAGAATGCAGAGAAAAACTACAGAAAGGAGGAAACAGATACAAACAGCAATAATAATGTTGGTAATTATAACAATAATAAAGGTAATAATAATAATAGCAGCACTGAGCCTCATTCTCCAACTTTCTGAGTCCTGTAGTGTCTCTCCCCCATATCGCTCCAGTTCAGATCACTTCAGATATTCAAACACCTATAAAACGTCATATAGGACTCAGCCTGTCAACATTCATACCCGATCTTTCCTGTCTGTGTCAATTTTTACCGCCTGATTTCTGAGCTTCTGCGACCGTACGCTCCCTCTGCACGGTTCACATGGTACAAAATTTAAAATTTGGATAAATAAATAGTTTGATCCACCTACTGGTGCATGGTGACATCAAAAATCAGAAGACTTTTGAGAGGCGGAGCTAAAGTCATTACATTTTAATGGAAGATTATAAGAAAATAAGAACGTAGACTTTTTAAAATGATAAGATGAATATGAACCTGAAAAGGAGATTTCGATTGTAAGTTGACTTTATAATCAAGCATCTGGCCAATCATAGCAGCATGAAACAATAAACCAACCAATCAGAGAGAGGATCCAGGGGGAGGCGGAACCAGCCGCCGCAGCATCAGCGTCAGGCTCAGCCGGAGACAGAACCGCACCTGAAAGGTAAAGAAAACAAATAAATAAACAATGTAGGGAGAAAACAAGATTGTTACACTTAAGTGTAACATAAATCAGAACCTCATGTGCAAAACTATGTGGAATTTGGGTAAAATATCCTTACAGTTTACATTTTTTTGCTTTTATTTATTTATAATTCTTTATATTGTTAATTTTTTTTGTGACCACTGATTAAGGACTAGAGGATGACCAACACAAACTGTTGCAGCAGCAGATGAGCTATCGCCTCTGACTTTAATAATAATATAACAATTTATAATAATTATATAATTTAATAATAATAATAATAATAATAATAATAATTACGATGTTTGTTTATATAGCACTTTTCATGCCGGTTGCAGCTCAAGGTGCTTTACAGACAGGTGATAAAACAGTTATACAAGAAATCATTAGTATTTATTTAGAATCAGAAGAAAATGAAACAGATCAAATTGGAAGATAAAAACGACGAGATGTAGAGTTTTAATTAAATGCTGAGTTAAAGAGAGACGTTTTCAGATGTTTATTAAAAGTGAGCTCTGAGCTCGACTGTCTAATAAAAGCTGAACTGAGCTCCACAGTTTAGAAGCAGAATAACTGAAAGAGTCTCTCCATGTTTTCTGTATTTTACAGAGGGTGTCTGTAGAAGGCCACTATCTGCAGATCTTAGATTACGTGCCGGAACATAAACAGACAGACACTCTGTGATGTAAGCGGTGCTTTAAGGTCATTTTGAGCTTTAAAAATTATTAGCAGAACTTTAAAGTATATCCTGAGCGATGCAGGCAGCCAGTGCAGCTCTTTTAAACAGGGCTGATCTGATCTCTCTGTGTTGTTTTTGTTAGGACGCTGATGCGTTTTATACGAGTTGTAAGGGATGTATAGTTTTCTTAGGACGTCTAGTAAGAACATCATTACAGTGATCAACTTGCTTGTAACAAATGTTTGAACAAGTTTCTCTTATTAGCCCTTGTGCTGCTTGACCTCCTGATGCCTTAGGTCTTGCTGACCACATGATACTGATAAACAAAACTCAGAAGTGTGTTGGACTGTTAGGAAAGCTCCCTATTTAAAGACCGTCTCAAAAGCGTTTGTTTTTAGCGACTCTGTAAAATGCCTGAGGTCAGTGAGCGATTAAGGATTTGCTGCAGATTTTATTTTTAAAATTATTTTCCCTTTATTTTATCAGGACATCCCTTTGAGATCAAATAAACCCTTTTACAAGAGAGACCTGGCCAATAGCAGCCATACAGACTCAACATATTCAAACACAACATATACGACATTCACTATATGGACAAAAGTATTGGGACACCTACAGGATCTTTTATCAATCCCAGTCTAAATCCATAGGCATTAATATGGAGTTGGCCCCCCTTTGCAGCTCTAACAGCTTCCACTCTTCTGGGAAGCTTTCTACAAGACTTTGGACGAGAGGGCCTGGCTCACAATCTCCGTTCTAGTTCATCCCAAAGGCGTGTGATGAGGTTGAGGTCAGGGCTCTGTGAGGGCCAGTCACGTTCTTCCACACCAAACTGACCCAGTCAGGCCTTTATGGAGCTGCTTTGTGCTCTGGGACAGGAAAGATTCCCCAAACTGTTCACACAGATTTGGAAGTGTACAATTGTCCAAAATGTCTTGGTGCTGAAGCATTAAGATTCCCCTTCACTGGAACTAAGGGTTCTAGACCAACCCCTGAAAAACAGCCCCATATCAGACTGATAGATAGAGAAGCTGATTTGTCACTCCAGAGAACACGTTTCCAGTGGCGGCGCTTTACACCCCTCCATGGCATTGTGCATTTTGATCTTAGGCTTGTGTGCAGCTGCTCAGCCATACAGACCAATTTTGTGAAGCTACTTGAAACACCTGAACTCATTAATTAGGAGGGATGTCCACATACTTTCGTCTATATAGTGTAAAATATGACAAATGCAACATGATATTACAAAACAGCTAATTGAACTCAAGAAAAACAACCACTCGTCTCATTTACCACATTCCTTATGATGCACTTAGGATATGTATTCATTTTTGGATCTTTTGGTGGATTATTCCGTGTCCAAGATGTACAATTTTCCCAGATCTGTTAAAACCCAGGGTACATTCAGAAGCAAAAGATCAGTTGCTTCAAAGTTAAAAATAGTCTTTAAAAAGTCGGACTGCATTTTGTCGAGACAACATGTCAATGATTTAAGGTCCAGAACTGTTTCCTCTACAGGTTTGGGTAAATAGTATTAAGCTATGACATAATAATCAGGTTATTTTTAGGTGGTCGTAGAGATTGCGTAGTTTCATTAACTATCATCTAACCAATGTCAGACTGGGTAATCAGGACAGCTGGGAGAATTCCCAGTGGGCCAGTAGCATTTTGGGCAAAACAAGTTTACTTATATAGCTCCTTTCACACACTGTGATTATCCAAAGTCCTTTACAAATGAGAAAATGCAAATATAATTGAAATTATAATTTAAAAAGTAACAAGATAAAGGAGAACGTGAATCAAAACATGAAATTAAACATTAAATTAAAAATCAAATTAAAGCTGAAATGATGATAATAGAGTGTCGTTAGGGGAGAGAAGAGCAGTAGAGCTAACTGTGTTTAAACTGAGCTGAAAGCTCCTCAAACAGTTTTCAGGCTGGTTTAAAGTGTCCAGTGTCGGGGCTCGTCTAATGCTCTCTGTCCACTGGGTCCATTTAAGAGCAGCATAGTATCTAAACGCTGCTTCTCCATGTTTAGTCTTCACCTTCGGCAGGACTGACTGACCAGTTCCTAATGATCTGAGAGTTCTGCTCGGCTCATATCGCTGCAGCAGGTCAGATAAATACGCTGCTCCTGACCAATAAGACATTTATGGAGCAGTAACAGCTCCTTAAAGTCTGTTCTGAACAGACTGGTAGCCAGTGGAAGGATTTGAGGGTGATGTGTTCCTTCTTTTACTCCTAGTGAGACTCTGGCAGCTGCATTCTGAACTAGCTGAACCTGTTTGATGGTCCAGTTCGGAGACCATTACAGTGATCAATCCTGCTAGAAATAAAGGCATGGATGAGTTTCTCCAGATCTGCTTTAGTCTGAAAATCTCTGATCTTGTTGATGTTTTTAAGGTGATTTAGTCATTGCTTTAACACAAATGCTAAAACCGAGATCAGAGAGTCCAGAGTCCAGAGGTTACGTACTAGTTCTTTAGATTTTAGGGCTCTTGAATCCAGATAGGCAGCTAGTCTGTGCCTTTCACTGCTACTCCTGAAAAAAAAATCACCTGATTTATCTTAATTCAACTGCAAGCTTATGTATAAACACAAATAAAAGCACAAGAATGCTCAGATAAACTATGAAATGTTATATCCAAGTGTATAGCTGTATTTATTTAGGGGTTAAACCAGCCCACCACCTACACTCCAGCAGCCAGTTGCACCAGCTGAACGCAAGTTCGATCGTAGTCTAGTATGAACGTAAACTGCCACTACATTCAAGTTTACGAGCTACTAGAATTTGCACAGTTGGAGGATAGATTACAGCCGTTTTTGTCCAACAGAGATAGAAAAGATCACACACAAGTCAACTGAGCGCAGAGAATAACCGCGTCAGTGCTCAGGTTGTGTGACGCTGACCTTTTTAAATTCTGATTTGGTGCTGCCAACACAGCAGACAGACAGACAGACAGACAGACAGACAGACAGACAGACAGACAGCGCTCCTCTGAGTTTATTACTGCTTTCATCATTTTCATAAGTGAATTATGTGAACTATATTATATGAACCACTTCAGTAGTGACTACAGGCCAAATATATAGAACAGAGGTCTTTAATCAAAATTCAAAAAGGTCCAGCTGAAGAAAATTTCCTTAAGCAAAGGTCCAGAACATCATAATGTCTAAGCTGCATCATGACTCAGTGCCATATACTGTTTACTGAAGTAGCCTAGTAGGTATATCAACATCTTATACAGTCAACAACTGAATGTCAAATCAAATAAAGTACAGTTCAGTCATATTTCAACAACATTTATTGTCAGTTTTCTCTTTTTGGAGCATGACGTGTGAAATAACTTCCCTCTGACTCACTTTCTTCTCTGACTGCTGTTTCTCTCCTCGTCCCTCCCCTGTGTGTGCGTCAATCACTTGAGTCTCAGTGCTCGTCGTAATGCACAGATCTGATTGGCTGAGTAGCGTCACGTGATATTTACAACTGTAAAGGCTAGAAAAGTTACACCGATTAAAACAGAACCACCCCGTCGAAATTAAATAATTCTCCATAGTTTATCAGTTATAGGTCCAGGTCCGCACAGGACAGCACCTGGATCCAGACACAGACCGCGGTCCGCCTATTAGTGACCTCTAGTATAGAACATTTAGCTTATTATAACTGCTTTGCATCACATTTAAATACAAGGATGTAAGTGCTTTGAATAAGTATTTACATTCATGTACCCAAAATATTCACAACCACCTGCCTTACAGTCAGAGCAGGTTCTTTGTGAAGGGGGCAGCTTGGTGTGAGTATCGGTGTGTTAAGACTGTAAAGGTCAGGGAGGTGAATCTGCAACAGGAAATGTTTTGAAATGTCACAAAATAGAGGAGAACTAAAACATGAGAGTTTAAAAAGAGAAGAAGTTCATCATTAAAATTAAACTCAGATTAAAGATGAAGGCCCAATCCCATATCGCCACCACTCAGGCCCTCAGCCCTCCATTTTGCGTGTTCTCGTCTAGGTTCTTGTTGAGATAGAGGGGGAGGGCGAAGTGTTGGGGCTACATGAGCCTCCAAACTGAGGTTTTTCAGAGACTCCAAACTGAGAGTTATGAGAAAAAACCCAGAAAAACCGGCAAGACGGCTGAACAAGAGAACAAAGAAACACACAAATGTGAGAATTTTCTCTGTTAAAAATTACGATAACCACTGTATTATCTTAGTTTAATGTCGTTTCAGTGTATTATGGTTGTTTTCTTTATAACAACCATAAAAAATCGCTAATAGCATGCTAATGTTTTGGT